TTTTTTTTTTTTTTTTTTTGCACTAATGTTCGCTGTACGACGATCGTTAAAGACGTGCGCTGCTACACGGCTTAATTGCCAGGAAAACTCGTTGTCAAGCTGCAGGAGCAAAGCTTCAACACAAAGGAAGGACAAGCTGCAATTGGAGCTTGCCTCGAAAAGAAAAGAATACAATTACATTACGAAGGGACTTGAAGGGGAGAGAGATAAAAAGACGCGCGCGGCTTCTCCTCCTCTCTCGCGACGACGAAACCGGAACATTGACCTTTGCGCGCGGTCTCTTAGGCGTTCCAACATTTTCATCGTTTAGTTATTCGTTGATAATTAAATATTCCTTCTCACTTGAAAATATTATCAAATTAAATTTAATAATTTAACAATATAAGGTTAATAATATTCTCTTTTAATTTTAAACAAATAGTGATACGAATTGTTGCAAATGATATTTGTAATTATTATTTATAATTAATTACTGTTTAAATTAGCTTCTAGCATTGAACAAAAATTTTCATTTCAACTACCGGATAAAATATGTAAATCAGCTGCCCATTATCAATCGGAGATGGAAGAATTTCCCTATATAGAAACACACTGATCGTGTTAAATTTCTACAATTAATTTCCCTTTTTTGGGAGAATAAAGGGTGTATGATAATTGTAACAAAGCCCTGGGAATTATTCGGATCATCTGCATGGTAATAAATTCGAACAGTGTTGTAGTGATGTAGCACGAGCATAAAGGAGACAGTCTCTCGACCGTGGGCTCGTATTTCCTATCCGTACCTGCTGTACCAGGAATAATGAAGTTTTCTAAACGAGCAAACGCGCAGATCACAATCTGCTATAACCAATTCCTTTGGCTTTATTCGTTTCTTTTCACGCGGCCTGCCTCCATTATGATGCAAAGCTGAAAAGACTCGCTCGTTCGTGATTCTGAGTTTCTAACAAAACGAAACGTTTCGGTCCACGACAGCGGTTCGAGGCTCACTTGTTAATAGAATTTGTCGCGCCAGTTAAAACCAATAATGAAATCTTCGGTGTTGAGTCTATTTATAAATGACGAATTATAATCACCATCGACATCTCGTCAGATAAATTATCTCGCGACATCATGCAGACCAAGTGCTCCATTTTTCTGACTTATTTAAGATAGAAATTTTGAATGATTACGTATCACGTTTTCTCAATTGCACTGTACTATCCCAAATCGTGTATTAGTACTTTATAAATTATCTCACGAGATAATGCAGACGAATACGATTTTTAAT